TACCCTTAAAATAAATAAATAAACTAATATTTAAAGGTTTTTTAATATTTTTAATCTGACTTTTTAGCTGTAATTAAGTTGGTTGAGGGGCAATTTATATTTTAATAAATATAGAATATAATTAAAAATAATAATTAAGTGCGTACAACCACATAAGAGGCACACGCGCTCCTTAAACAGCATGTGTGACGCCTCCTACAAGCTAAAAAACAAATTCTGTCGTGTTGTTGAAAGTTTCACGTCTTCTTCTTTCTTTCGAGGCAGTGTGGTGTTGATAACTTTTGTTTTCTCTCTCTCTTACCGCTATTCCCTCATCTCCCCTGAAAGTCATGTTTGATGTTCAAAATTTCAAAGTTTTCCTCCTATTTATTAAGATATCAACTTAATATTTATTTATTTTAAATTTTAAATTTTAAATTTTTATTATTGATTCTTTTGTAAAATTTTGATTTATTTTTTATTTCTATCTTTAATTTCAATTCATGAAATGTTATTTTTTTTCAATTTATTTTTCCTTCTTTTGATTATTTTTTTGAGTTATTTTGTTAAGTGATTTTTTTTTTCAATTCCATCCTAATAAAAAAATTTATAATTATCCTATGATTTATTTATTTTTCAGTTTTGATTATTATTATTTTTGTTTTGGATTGTTTTATAATTTTTTTTTTTAATTTGATTGGTTTAAAATTTAGTTTCTTTATTTTTCTAGACATGATGTTTCTAATCTAACCATCTAAATCACTAGTTTAAAATAGTGCAAATTGATTTTTTTTTATTATTTTGATTTTTTTATAATTTTATCGTTTAAAATTATTATTTTTAAAATAAGTTTTGTGATTTTATTTGTTTTTTATCAAATTATTCTAGTCTTATAATTTATATAATAAGTTTAATGTATTAATTTAAATTAAATTAATTTGTTATATTATTTTTTTTAAAAAAAATAACATTCTCAGGCTTTCTTTAAACATCAATTTTTTACATTAAAAAAAAAAATCCAATCTCGAGATATAGTGCGGTTACACATCTAGTTTCCTTTAAATGAAAGTGACGTGCGTCGCCCACCATTGTACTGAGATAAGTAGATTGAGACGTGGCTAGAGCTGGAAAAGGTCAAGTTTGGCGGTCAAAAAAATATCCACCCCATAAACAAATTTATTTTTCAGAATTAATGGCATGCATTTTCATATATTCTCAATAATTCAATCACAAGTTAATACTCGAGACGAGTGGAAGGAGTAATGTATATTTTAAAAATTTTATATTGAGCTAAATAGTTATAAAGATATTTTTGAAATATCTTTCCATTATTATTTTTTTAATAAAACATTTGTTTCTTTCAAGTCTCCTTTCCCTAATTAAAGTTTGATAGAAAATATTTTTTATTTTAAAAAATTAAATATTTTTAAAATAAAATCCAACCGTAATCTCGAATCTGTTTGTTTTATCATAAAAAAGTGCATCTAATTACATTTCATATCATTTATTTTCAAACTATTTTTCTATATCATCTCTTGTTTTATTTTAGAATGAAATGTATCTCAGACTAATAAAATTAAGCTGCATGGTTTATTTATTATTAAGTTGAGATGGGTTTGAGTTCTAGTTCATGCATTTTATTTTGAGATGGGTTTGAGTTTTAGTTCATGCATTTTATTTTATTTTTGCATATCTTTACACCATTTTTTTTTCACGCGACATATTTGTTATTGTGCATACAGGTCAAGGAAATATTATATAGCGCAAACCTCTTATATCTGACATGATTTCAAAAGGATGACAAATTTCTTGTTCATGAAAATATCTTGTTACAAAGCCCTAAATGTATTAATATGAGTCCCCAGGAGAATTGATGTAAAAAGAAATCGAGCTACTAGGTTATTAAATTAAATTATCAAATCAATTCATATTAATTATTTTTATTAAAATGATATGTCTCGGTTTTTTTTCTGTATGCCTTGATAGGATGATTTTGAATTTCAAAATTAGATATTAACAACCTAAATTTCAAATAAATTTAAACTCGTTGAGTGATCAAATAACTTTGATGTTTAAAATGAAAAAAATAACTTTCAGGAATAAAAAATTTATATTCATTGGATGATTATTCAATCAATCATAAACGTGCATGATAATTCTTTGATAGAAAAAAATAATTTAATATATATTTTTGATATTTTGAGTTTTTTTTTAATGAAAACAACAAACTGCTGGATTACAATGGAGACTACAAACCTACAAATTACTAGCTTGTAAGCCATACAAGCTTATTGAATAATATGTTTTGAAGATCCTGAAAATTTAGCTGAATTGCAGGGCTTATTAATGATATACCCTACATCTTTTTTTTAAATAAGAAAGTTTAAAATAACTTTGAGTTATTATTCACCCACCCTATTTTATTTAAAGTAACTCATGGTAACTATACTCCTACTATTCCATTCATAGTTTTAAAGATCTTGTACCATTTAGATTTTTTATACACTCCTTTCATGAGCCAATGGTTAAAATTTGAATCTTATCAAATCTTGTTTATAATAAAATTTGACATGTTTTTTCTAATTCAAATCTTATAATTTTCCAGTCAATTTTAGTGTATAACACAATATTAATATATTTCATTAAAAAAAAATTTCACAATGGTAATCTTAAAGATCTAAATAGGCTAAAAGATTTAGTTAGATTAATATTCTTTTTAATTTTACTCAAAACTCAATTCAAGTTGGGTCACAAGATTATATTAAATATCATTATCACTTTTAATAAGTTTTAAACTTGATATTTTATTATTATTTACCTATTTCTCTCTTTAAAATAACTTTTAAAAATAATAATTTATAGTTATTCACCGAAGAACACAAAAAATTTTCAATTCATGAAGTTGATCTCATTCCTTGCAATTCTTTTTTTTTTTTTTTGATTTACGTGGGGTGTCCGGGCCAGCTTGCGCGCACCACGACTAATCCCCACGGCCCACTGAATATCCTGCAAACCCAGTAGGCATGTAAGGCACCGCGGGGGTGACAGGCGTGCACGCTAGGGCTTGAACCCAGGTGCAGTGGAAGGAGACAAGCCCCTTCCACCGCTAGGCCAAGCCCTAGATTGCTATTCCTTGCAATTCTTATTCACACCATACCATGATTAATACTATGTCTTAGACGTATACCGATATCTAATGTATGCAACATTTGTTGTCGTATCGAAGGGGCATTAGCTAAAAAAAGAAATTATATGTCAATATCGAAGGGGCATTAGCTAAAAAAGATATCTAATGTATGCGACATTTGTTGTCGTATCGAAGGGGCATTGTCAATATCGAAGGGGCATTAGCTAAAAAAGAAATGATTTGTCAATTTTTTTTAAATATTACCATTAAAGTAATGCAAATGTCATAGAAGAAAATATATAATAATAAATACAGGTGGATCAAAATAATTATAAAAGAAAATATATAATAAAAAAAATAAATACAGGTGGATCAAAATAATTATAACAGGCCAGTTGGTTGGTGACAAATGCCTACCACCTCTTACCAAACCCTCCACAATTGACTCTCACCAACCACCAAACCAACTCCCTCCCTCCCTCCCTCCCTCTTCTTCCTTCTCTCCACTTGTCTCCTGGTCTATGTAAGTTCCATTCAGGAATCAAAGCCACTCGATGCTTTTGTGATTGAGTAACAAAGCACAGAATCCTTCATTTTCCTTCTAAAACCAAACGAAAAGGTAAGAAAACACACAATGGGCGGCAACGGCAAGGTATTCACTTTGGCTCAGGTCTCCACGCACAACAGCCCTAAGGATTGCTGGCTCGTCGTTGAGGGCAGGGTACCCTTTTTCTTTTCCTTTCCAATTTGTCTCACATTCCCTTTTCTTGCAATGATGGGTTTATAGCATTGTATTTGATCTTGATGAAGGTGAACGTAGATTTCTTTCTGGCTGCTTGTTCTTTCCTCGTCTTATTGCGTTGCTAGTTACACTTTTATTGTTGTTGCTGCGGCGGTGGCAGCCGAGTGTTTTTATTAAATGATTGGCAGTAACCAGTTCATCTTTTTTTTTTTTTTTATAAAAAACTATGTAAAAAATATTTTATAGAGAATTTTAAGAAACAAAACCAATGATAGAAAAAAATTCTTTTTAAAATAAAACTAATTAGATTTTATCAAGATTTTAAAAAATAATTTTTCATAAACCACAATTAGTTAAGTCAAACTTTATACTTAGACTATCTTCCTTCTAAAAAGCTAAGTATCATTTAAGTTCAATTTTAACTTTTTATATTCTCACTAAATAAATTACTAGAATTTTTTTTTTTGTAATAGAACTTTTAGAAGGTTTTTTATTTCCTCAAAACATGCTTATTAAAAATTATTTAGGATTAATTTTTTATTTATTCAAAATTTATTTAAATTATATTAATATTTCATATTAAAAAATTTATATTTAAATTTCAATAAAATCTTAACCAGTGAGAAACTCCACTTTTAATTAAACCTCAAATATCATTAGCCATGATTTTGAAAAAAAATCCAACATGAACATCCAAATCATGAATCCAGAGAAAAAAAGTAAGAAAAGAATCCATGATTTGAAGAATTGGGTTTTATTTCAATGGAATTCTAATTTTTTATTACCTAAGAAATCAATCATGTCGGAAAGCTGGAGGAATCATCTACCATCATAGCAAAGTATCAAATATTGTTTTTTGGTGATTTTGTCAAGGAATCATTTTGTTCTGGATGTCGATGTCGCCTAGAGACAGTAGTCGCCTAGGCAACCTCCTCCAATACTAGCTGCAGTCAGCATCTGAAATGGCGATCACAGTGCACTGCATGCCAACGTTATTTAAGTGGTTATTTCTTTGTCATCGTGATGAACAAGGCCAAATCCAGTTCATTGGTGGGCTGTTTGAATTCTCACACTTGTATATTCATGTCAAATTTGATTTCATCAATCATCAAAAGAAAACCTACAATGGAAATGTGAATTTCTTCCCTCCTGTTTCTTGGAGTTATTACTCAAGTAAAATCAATTCCATTCCAATAATCCGAGTTTTTTTTTTTTTCCGAATCAGATCCCGATTGAATGATATCATTTCATGAGCAATATTACGTGCATCAGTGACAGCAATAATGGTATATGGAGCTTATCAGGGTTTCAGTGTCAAAAGTAAAGACCTTGGACATCGTCACATTAACCTTTTGTTCTTTTCCTAATTCATGATATCCAGAACCATCCCTTGACAAAGAGATGGATAAAGCCAGAATATTTGAAAGTAGACAAAAACCTTGTAAACCAGCATATGTTTTCTGTGGACAATCGTATGGTTTTAAACAAGGCCACAGCCTTATGTCAGCATGCGTTCCAGATGAAGCCAGCGAACACTGCAATAACTTCAAACGAGAATATCTATGAATCCAATGGATCCTTTCGTAAGAATCTATGCCCTTTTTTTTGTCACAGAATGAGAGGGACAGTATATGAATCAGCAAGGTGAAGAAGTCTACCTCCTTTTCCTCGATCCTTTTCGGTATCTATACCTATTAAGAAAAGCTAGCAAATGGGAATTGTAGCTAAGGAGGATGGTGTGCTTAAATTGGTTCATCCAGGTAGGTATGTGGAGATTCACAGACAGCCTATAGCTGCAGCTCAAGTGCTGGAGAACAACCCCAGGCATTCCATTACACGACCTGATGTGTTTGAGTATCCATGGATTGTAGTTAAGCCCGACTCTGTATTGCGTTTAGGGAAAGTTTTCTTCATTGTTCCCAACAGCACAATTTACAACCTGCTAAAAGCTCACAGGCAGTGCAACCAGAATTCTCCACGCCAAAGCCAGTTTTCAAAGAATTATGCTTGTGGACAGGTTCAAAAACGGAACTCGACTAGAAAGCCAGCTACAATGTCAGCCAAGCATCGACCCAAGCACCGATGGTTTAAGCAATCACTTCCTATAACATCCTGTACGGGAGCAGCTTTCCAAGAGCAAGACTGTGATAAGAGAATCAGAAACCCTCCAGGAAAATCAGCTGAGACGTCACCCAACCGGCACAACCGGCACCGATCCCTTCCTATCACATCGTGTATTGTGACAAGTTTCCAAGAGCAGGACAGTAATAAGAGAAACACAAAACCAGCCAAAGTAGAGTCTTGGCCCAAGTTTATCTCCAAGCACAGAAACACCCACCTAGACTTCGAAGAGAAACCACAGGAGGATTCATCAAGTGAGAATAGACCTTCAAATTATAAAGAATATCGTTCTGTCAACACGAACACCACGGCGGGATTTCCTAGAAAGAATGATAGTGAGTTAGATTATAATTGCATGGAAGAGGTAATCACTCTGAAATCTTGCTCGAGGAAACAGGACAGTGTTCGTAAGTTGCTTCAACTCAAGGTTTCTTTCAACTTGCCAGTCAAAGTTGAGGAGCAGCGTAGAGCAGTCCATGCAACCAGAGCAGGAGTTTCAAGCAATCGTTTCTGCAGCTCCTCGGAAATTTTTGTGCATTTTACAAACCTCGTTGCAACATAACCAGATTTTTCCTTTTCCTTTCCTGAACACGTGACATCTATGCTTAAGAATGTTTTTCTACCCATCCGTTGGTTCTTCATATCCACTAAAAGTCAATCCACATGCATGAAGTTTCTATGCAAAATTTGTGCTATTCTACCATGTCAACTGAGTACAATGCAGTATTGTTAAAGCCGGTCAACCCAGTGATCCGCTGGACCGAGTTTCATATTTATGTCTCATATCCCATATAAATTTATAAAACTTTTATACATATATGAGATTTCAAATAACATCATACAAAATATATCAAATAGCATCAAAGTTGTACTCTCCAAAACCATAACTCGCAAACAAGAACAAATATTCTTTCTATCTCAAAGCATCATAAACCCTATACAAGGTAACCCGAAAAGGGAAATTTATAAAAAATAAAATAAGTAAAAAGGTCAACAAGATCATTCCTTGTGGTTACTTAACAAGTACAGAAGAAAGAATAGGTTGAATTACCTAATCAGTGCTGGCACATGTTCTCTCAATCACTCTAGAATCTGTTCTGTGGGAATTTTTTGATGGAGAACTTGATCCCCTTGAAGAACTATGCCCAAAGATACTAAGCTTTCCGATTTTCTTTGAGAAAGAACTCATGAATTTACGAGAATGAGACTTTTGCATGTCTCTCTTCATACAAACATGTTCTTTCTCTAGATCATTTAATCTCATCCGCAACCGAGCTAGCTCAAGTTTTAGCTCTCGGTTTTCTCTCCTTAGTGATGCATAGTTGTCTCGCGGAGACATTGCTGCGCTGAGCGCACCACTGCTAATTCGCCATGAATTGTGCATTGGCTTGTGGTCATCATCAGCATAAGAGCAGCACAGAGCATTTCTGAGCCTTATTTGCTCAAAATAGAGCACTTGAACTATAGCTTGAAGGGGTAGCCGTTCATTTTGAGCAGCATGTGCTCCAGCTTCTTGCGAGAGCTTTTGGAAATCAATAAGTTTGCAGAGCTTCTTCCTGTCTGAGTCTGATAAACCCTGATGAGCCTGGATGTCATTGCAAAATAATCAAAGAAACCTTAGAAAACAAAGCTTTTCTCCTGGATATCGAAAGATGCAAAGGGAAAATATTAGTAGAACATACTTTGAGGTAAATATCAATTGCCCGGTATAGTCCATCATGAACTGTTCGTGCATGTGTTGGTAAAGTCTCTGCAATGACCATGAACTTGGAAAGCTTGAGATTTGCATCAGGAGCGATCTCGGCAAGATAATTGTCAACCAGTTTTGCCACTTTAAATAAAGCAGTTTGAGAAGGTGAATGAGGACTATCAGATTCAAAAACAGAAGCATCTTCCATATCATCTTCACTATCATCCTGCTGTGAGAAATTAACCAAGATTCTATGGACTGTGTCGACATCAAATAAGGTATCACCTGCATGCCTGAACGATGGGATCAAAAGATCATCAAGAGTGGCAACATCCAACTGGGAACCAATCCGCCTCTCTAGGTCGAGCCTACAAGCAATTGTGCAATCAAGCATCACAGCACTTCGCAAAAGACCAAAAAGAAAAGTTATAGGAACAGCAAGTTTCTCAACAGGCAGAAGGTTAACAATTGTCTCAACCACAAGTCTTTCATGCCCAGTTGATATCAGATCAACCTTTGTCTGGCTAGATGGATTCCATAAACTGGATTTCTTTGTCAACTCCTTCTGAGCATAGTTCACCAGTGATGCACCAATACTCTCAGGACGGACACCACGGCACTTCATGGCCGTCATGACCCTTTGATACAAGTCTATGCGGAGAACAGACAGATCTTCTATCCACCAGTCCCCTTCTCTTTTAGCTTGCTTGTTCATGTGAAGCCTCCCTGAGCTACTATACTCCAAGCGTGAGAAACTCGAGACAATTTGTTCAGCACAAGCCTTTGAGGCAATGGCATCTATGCATCGGCTAACTATCCTAAGCTCATCAGCAAGAGGGATTAGGTTCTCGCATTGTTGCAAAACTTCAACACACATTTCAAGATTCTTACAAACAATGCTCTCAAGATACTCTTCTGCACGAGAACCAAGATTGTCTTTGGAGAAGTCTTCAGTCATTTCAAGGTATTCAGAGACACAGCACAACTGGGCAACATTTGAAGATGTAATTTCAAAGTTAATGCCATAACAGAATTTTGCAGCCAACTCAAACGCCTCTGCTCCTCCTGGAAGATTAAGCAGCTCCACCCTTGAGATATCGGCATCTCTATGTTCTGCAACCAACTTTCTGATTCGTCCACTTCGAGAAACTAGAGGGAACTGCATTTGTCAAAAAAGATCATGAAGAATCTGTCAAAACCATAATGTTAATCTCATAAACGTACAGAGAAAAGACGTGCATACACTTCCGATTTAATTTTTCTTCAAGGTGAATGGGTAACAACACCTAGTATAAATCCACAAGAACTTACCTTGTGTAATGCAAATGTCCCTCCGCTCACTTCTATGGTGATATCGCTAGGAACATCCCGAAAAATCCTACCAAAGAAAAGATAACAGCCAATTTGCTTACAAAAGGAACAACAGCAACTATTCTGAAAGATAACAAGAGAGGTTCCAAATTGAATCCTTATTTTATATGCAGAGTGCAGACACCACCCAGCAAGCAAATGACACAAAACATAAAGGACGAACCTTCACTGTTCAGACAAGTAGTAGTAAAGAGTTATACGAACAAGGATCGATTGAGATAAAATAACAGAGCAGATACAAGCTCAGAATTCATTGTGCTGGTAAAAACAATGATCAGAACAACAAGAGAAGGACACCATAGACAGTGCACACAAAAACAAAAAACTAAATAAGTTGAAGTGAATCCGAACATGGGAGAATGAGCTCTTGTCGAGAACAAACCATTCACTGTATTTCTGCCTGGAACACTTAGCCAAAGACAGTTGCTGCTGCTGATGTTTGTCCATGGAACGAGACAGAAAGGAAGAGAAACCAAAGTAAAGAGAGAAAATCAAGTGTCAGGAAAGAAAAGGAATGAAAATATTGACGGTGGGGTTAAAGGAAAGGAGCAAGGAAAGAGGAAGAAACAGAGACAAAGACCCAGTTGGAAATATTGCTGTTGCCGAACCTCTTCCTTGGAGGAAGAGACAGAGACAAAGACCCAGTTGGAAATATTGCTGTTGCCGAACCTCTTCCTTGGCCATTTTTGTCAAAACATGGCTACTGTCCAAACCCACTGGGACCTCCCTTCACTCCCACAACTTGTGGGTCATCATCATCTCTTTCTTTTCATTTTTACTCTCTGCCTTTTCCTTTGCTTTGACAACAATTACTAACATGCTCTTTTGAAGTTAAATTAGCTAGAGTTAATGCTGATTTTCTGTACCTAATTGGCTAAGAAAAGGAGCTTTGTTACTTTCTTGCGTGATAAAGAGAGAAGAAAAGGCGGGAACAAAAGGAGTGTCATCTGTGTACAATTTAGATTCTCCCTTTTTCTTTTAACTCTCTCTTTCTGTCTTCACTCTTCTTTGATGTTTAAGAGTCTTTCTGTCCCCTTTTTAACTTAATTTTTTTTCTTATATTAATGGATCTGTAAGTAAACTCTCACCATCATGCAATTTCCCTTCCTTTTTTTAATTTTTTTTTACTTGTTCCGAGACAAAATTAACAGAAACAATAAAAACAAAAGGGAGTATTTTCTATTTTAAAAACACAGTAATTTACTTTAATTCTGGAGATATATTTATATTATGTTTTTGTTTTCATTATTCTAACCAAACATATTTTTGTATATATTTATTTTATTTTTAACACTAATCAAACACAACTTAATATATTGTTTAATTCGATAAACTTTGAAGATTTATTTTTTTTAGATTTTTTATTTTTTTTAATTAGGCAAGTGTCATTAAAAAAAATAGAACTTCAAGGTTAATAATAAATCATATTTTATTAAAAATTAAATTAATTGTAAAAGTATAATTCCTAAACACAAGATTCTATAAATTGAATATATGACAAAATATAGTCTATCCAAAAATATACTCTATATGTTTCAAGCTTCTCAGCCAAATGAATTTATTTTACTAATTGAAATCTATTTAGTATAAATTTGATATTGTGATAGTTTTTATAATGATAATTTTAAAAAATATATTTTCAGCTAAAATTATTGTGAAATAAATAAAAAATAGATTTTCACGAGTAAAAAATAGATTACTTTAGTTTTTACAAAACAAGATTTGAAATACAATTATGCATAAGGTCCACTGCAAAAAAAATAAAAAAGTAGGTAATACAAGTATATCTATTTTTTATTATATTTATATTGTTTTATCTGATGTTTTATTTTCTAAAACAATATCCAAACGTTACCTAAGATATCACGAGCTTAAATCATTCCTTTTTCTTTGTAATATAACCTTTATAATATAAATAATTACGATTTTCCACCCCTATGTTTACTTATTTCACATATTCACCCTCAAATTGTTGGGATTTGTCATGCTTAATTTGGCTAATTGGAATCAATATATATTATCCTTAAATAAGGGATCAAAAGTTGTGTCAATATCGCGTCCGTGAATGGATTTGATTTAGACTCGTTTTAGGTGCACCGATATTATTTTAATTTTTTTATATAAGGAATTTCACATTTTCAATTTTTTCTCCTCACGGCTCATATTAATATAATCAATTTACAATGATCACATCGGTTGCCTAGAAGGTGTGGTGATTATACAATCTCTTCGTTTAGGGTCTCGAGAATGGCCTGCGTGGAATATATATATATATATATATTTGCCTCAGAGACAAATTATATTTTTATCTTGTAGATTCATCATTGGTTCATTGGTGTTTAACTTTTATTTTTATGGTTTGAGGTTTTCTAATATTTCTATAATTATTTCCAAATAAAACTCAATTTGGATGATAATTTATTTTTATGGTATTTCTATGATATATTTTTCACATGTATTGGAATTTAAGAAGATAAAATGAAAGAAAAATATGGGAAAAAAAAAGAATAGGTAGGCTTCCTGCCTATTTAATATATTAAAATACAATTTATCTTGTATTAAAGAAATAAATTATTTTTATTTGATTTGAAGATCTGTATTACTGAAACACTAAATCAACTTAAATTAATTATTTTATTTAAAATAATAATATTTTATTTTTAAAATAAAAAACACTTTAGAGTTAACTTGACATAATCTCACCTAAATTTAATTATATCATTGAGATTAAAAATTAATTCATTCACCATCCAATCAATATCCAAAATAATAGACAATAAGACTTTAGTCGGTATTTATGTTATCGGATCACGGGGGTCACCCAGCATGTCGATGCAAATAATTTAATAACTATGTATATACATTATCAGTCATGAATGATTTTTTAATTTGCAAGCCCTGTTATAAGTATCATATAATAAATAATGTATAAAAATCATAAATTCAGCATTGATCAATCCTCAATAACAAGAAAGAGCACCTACTAATCCCTAATTTAGTATTGCTTTTAAGGCATGTTTGGAAAGCGATGTAAAATATGTTTTTTTTTTAATTCTAAATTTTTTTAAAAAAATTATTTTTTTATATTTTATATTGTTTTAATATAATAATATCAAAAATAATATCAAAAATAATTTTTATTTTGAACCATTACCACAATTTCAAAACATCTTTTAAAATAAAATTGAAAAAATTTTAAAAAATAATTTGTTTTTATATATATATATATTTAAATAGTTTTAATGTATTAATATCAAAAATTATTTTAATATATTTTTAAATAAAAAATATTTTTAAAAAATAACCATTATAATAATCCCGAACATCTCTAAATAACCCATCTGTAGCATAAGTAAACAAAAGTAAATCCAATCGATACATGCAACCACTCTACAAATATTACTAATAAATTGTGTGGTATCTTTTCATTATCCAATATCTGGCCATCAAGATCTTGGTCCCTAGTCATTCAAGGAACGTAGACCAAAAAACGGAGCCCCAAGCCTAAAACAACAAGAACCTTCCACTAAAGCTAGCAACGAAAAGAAAATTCTTGCTGGCATTTGATTCGATTTGACCAGGAAGGTGCAAGTTACTGGTAACCTACCTGTATTTATTGCAGAATTTTTTTTTTTAATTAATATGGGTGTCCGGGTTAGCTTGCACGCATTACCAGGAACGAAACCAGGGGAGGACAAGCAGGGGCCCGGGCCTCTGCAAAACATTTTAATTTTTTCTATTTTATAATATTTTTTAATTTAAATAAATAAGTTTTAATATTTCCTAACATCTCTAAATAAACCATTTGTAGCATCAGTAAACAAAAGTAAATCCAATCGATACATGCAACCACTCTACAAATATTACTAATAAATTGTGTGGTATCTTTTCATTATCCAATATCTGGCCATCAAGATCCTGGTCCCTAGTCATTCAAGGAACGTAGACCAAAAAACGGAGCCCCAAGCCTAAAACAACAAGAACCTTCCACTAAAGCTAGCAACGAAAAGAAAATTCTTGCTGGCATTTGATTCGATTTGACCAGGAAGGTGCAAGTTACTGGTAACCTACCTGTATTTATTGCAGAATTTTTTTTTTTAATTAATATGGGTGTCCGGGTTAGCTTGCACGCATTACCAGGAACGAAACCAGGGGAGGACAAGCAGGGGCCCGGGCCTCTGCAAAACATTTTAATTTTTTCTATTTTATAATATTTTTTAATTTAAATAAATAAGTTTTTTAATAATATATATTATTATATTAATTTTGGTCTCCCCTGTAAAATGTGCCTGCCTCCGCCCTTGCGCACCACGATTAATCCCACGGGCCCTGAAGTTAACGACCATGTAAGTCTCCAGTGGCCATCATATGAGCAACCAAAGATTCGAACCTGAAACCACAGAAAAAATAAACCCTTTAGTCCCAAGTCTTTACTACTTGGCCACCACCTGTTAACTTCATAATCTTCTTCACACGAGTGAAGATGCAAGCGATTGCAGAATCTTCTTCACACGAGTGAAGATGCAAGCTACTGGGATAGGGTGAGGAGTAGCTTTTAGTCGGTTGAGTTGTTGCCATCTTGGCATTGAATGGCGACCATGATCTTAAATGCTGATGAGATTTTGCAACAGAAAGCAATGAAAATGAAAAATCCATTCCATGTCTGCTCAAGGCTCTATTAAGGGTACTGATTAACTCGTTTTTTATAATTAGTGATTGATTAATACTTGAAGAAAGTTACTGTCAGCTATAAAAATGGATATATTTTGAGGCAAACTGATGCTACTGCTGCTGGGTATGGTTCAAATGGACTGACTCTGCATCTCGTCTCTTTTGCTCTTGAAAAAAGCAAGCAGGAAAGGCGAAAAAGGGTGAAAGGACACTCGAATCTATGATTATAAGACCCAACTAACCAGCCGGGTCAATCCATAAAAAAGAGAAAGAACACTTGAATCTATAATTATAAGACCCGGTTAACTAGTGGGTCAATCCAAGTTTTATAACTATATGCTTTGGAATTTAGGGACACACTTTGAGCACATGTAAATTCACATAGTTTAAATTTTACTATGAGGCTGATTTGATCTGATGTTGTAAGAATTTATGTCATATACTCTGGTAGCAGTTCTGTCAAGTCTGATTGCAGTATCATGCAGCTATCGCAAGTGTTTTCGTGGAGTTAACAAGAGAATCAGTAGTTGAGATGTTTATTCATTCTTTTTCATAAGAAAAGTAATACAATTAGCGATTTCCATTCAACTTTTTAAGGTTGGATTTGCTTAGAACATAAAAAAATAGATAAAAATAAAAATAAAAATTCAGCTGCATTATAGTTATAAAAATTGATTCAGAATGACCCGGTTTAAGATATGAGTCATGGGTTGAAAAACTAGTTTCGGTCAACTTAATTTATAATTATTTTTTTAAAATAAAAATCTAAAATGATATTATTTTAAGTTTTTAAAAAGTAATTTACACCGATTTGGTTAAGGTTAAGTTTTAAATTAATATTTTTTAATATTTTTATATTATGTTAATATAATGATGTTAAAAATAATTTTTAAAAAAATTAAAAATTATTTTACTAATTTTAAAATTAAAA